GTATTTGCGTCGATACCAAGATTCTATAGCGAAACACGTACTCAACAGCAGAAGACCATAACCAGACCCGCTTCTTGACCTCCCTGGATGACCATGTGGTAGCGCAGGCGGAGTATGAAAACAGCAGCCGGGTGCCACTACCCTCCAGAATGTTCCCGTGGACTTTGAACGGAGAGAGTGGCACGTTACTGCAGCTGCAGACCCATTCGCCTCAACATGGCATGAACAAGGATCCACAGTTGTGTGCCCAGTTTGCATTTGAAAGCTAACAGACTTCTTGAACCCTTTAAAATATCTTGTAAAAACTGAGACTCACCAAATATCTTGGCAGTCGCCATATAGTCATTACTTTATCCCTTTTCGTCTTTTCATTGCAAGTATCGCAATGTATCAATGCATCCAAAGTCTCTGGACAACTGAATTTCTCCAGGCAATGTTCCAGGGATGAAGGAGCAAAATGTCGGGACCATGTTTCTGCTACAGATTCGTCGTCTTCACAAGCCTAGAGAAACGGTTTTTCAAAAACCACCACCGAAAGGGTAATACAAATGACTGGGCAAATGCAAGAATGACGGAATTCGAACAGGCTCACCAGTTCTTGTGAGTGATTGTACTTGAGATACAATGCAATAGGCAGCCAGTCTACAGCTATTCCACAATTTTCGGGTATACACGGCTAGAAAATAAGACGATAACTTACACAGCACAAATATTTTACGGCCTTTTAAATGGAAGTTTCATCACAGTGAACTCAACGAAAAGGAGTTTTGACTTCTGAATTTCTGAAAAATCAGCTTATTTTCAGCATCTACTGGAACTCACCGCGGTGGAGTCCGGTCTGATAGCACAGCCACGACAGAATCGCAGCGCAGGGCACTGGCCGCACCACTCCCAGGACTCATCGACTAGACACAGCGAGAACGGATAGCCAAACGAGATGTCTTCAGAACTAAAACACTACTCTTGGCGAAAATGGTAAGTAACACGAGGTATGAAGAAGAGAATCTTGTGTGTCAAAAAGGCCGCGAACATGCCGCAAGAAAACAATTTTCAAAACACGACTAAATATAACATTTCCAAATACTAAAACACTTTCGCTACCTACCTGTCAGCGCTTCTTATCAGATCATTATCGTTTATGCTAACGGTACTTTACGTAAATATGTATTATTGAAGGCACGCTCCTCGTACTTTCGACGTTCAGACGTCTTCTGTGGAAGGCGGTCCTGTTTTCAAGCATAGCAGAGAATGTAGCGCTCGAGACTACGTGTGGAAAGCGCGACGCGCTCACGACGAAGGCGACGCCCCACTGGCCGCAGCCAGCGTCCAACTTTCATTTAAGGTGAGCCTCGGTGATGCGCTTGCTTCCACTACTAACTTCTCCGTGCAAAATGTGTGAGAGTGAGATTAGATAAATATAGAAGAATGACACCGACAAGTGAGAAGTCCAAACACGCCCTTTCTTCGTACTTTGTGAGATTTTTGAGTTATTTACCATGCTGTCATTGGTAGATGAGCTGCCCAAGTCAATCTTTTTGAAAGCGGGCGTGTCTCCAAATGGTGCGACTAGTTAGAGTAAGTGGACAGAAACGAAAAGACCCCGCCCCCCCCCCCCGCACAAAACCAGTGTTTAAGAAAACTCACGGATCATGTGCACGACTAGATATTGCCGGAGATGAGACATCCATGAATCTGCGCATCTGCAAGAAATTACTAGATTGTAAAAAGTTTGGGCCGTTTTGGTTTTAAAGTGATTTCTGCAATGAGATTGCGTAATTTTGGTATCGTTCAATTGCGTTCCAAATGAAGTTGTCTTGGAGCTGCCCGGTCCGTGCGCGTACTCTACACTGTTCCCTTCACTTTACTCCGCGAACAACTTCCCAGCCATTCTTGCGCAACCATATCACGCCTCAACTCCATTAACCTTATGTGATGCTGCTAGCATAACTCCTGAAGCGCTGTTCGTGCATGAGTAGCAAGCACATTAATCACAAAGGTGGCTCCATCTTCAGGTAAATATAAGAAGTAGGACAGCAAAATGCTCGTAATAAAATACACATTTGAACGGGAGCTTTTTACACAACATATTACTTCGCAAACACAAATAGTTTACACATAACCGGTCTTTCTTCAACGTATCACGAAATTTTCGCCCAAAAAATGTGAAACTAAGATCGAACCAAGTAATCAACTTTTCGAAACCAGAAAGCTATGTACACTGACTGGTTCAACGTAATGATCAAACAAACTAGAAACCAGTTATGGTGCTATTATTGTGATGCCACAAAAAATACAATAATATCTCCTTATGGTAAAGGAAGGACTCGACTAAAAATAACTCACCTGACTCATCACATCTTCATACAATTCCTTCCCTGTAATTTTCGCAGGGCATGGTACGATCAACGGCAAGCCGAACTGGGTGACAACAAAACCGCCGGTGGAGCCGAGGAAATACGGCTCATAGTTGTATTGCTGGAAGGTTGGATGAGCAGTCAAACTTGTACACGTAACCAGTTAGCTATAACTCTCTTAAGTTTTCAAGACTGGTTGAATCGACTGAAAAGTCGGGACAACATTCCATAAAAGATTTTCAACCGATAAACATCCGAGCAACCGATAAACAAAATAGAGGGCCAACAACTCAAACAACTCACCAGTTTCCGATGGATTGCTACCCGCCATTCAGGGGTGTCCTCCGGCAGGTGAAGAGCATACAGACGACCACCTGACGGCACGGAGCTCAATGGCGCGTCATCTTCAGTGTTAATTGGATTCTGAATCAATGTTAACATTACATGCACACATCACCCTTCTTCATGAAAAACTTACCATGAAATACCCTCTCTTGTTCAGACACTGTATTGTAAGCGCATTACGATTCACTCCAGTTGCCTCTGCTACGAGACCTTTGAATGTGCCCAATGTACATTCTCTCGGCAACCTGAATCCATATCGACGTGGAACGCTTCCGTCACGGCGCACCACTAAAATAAAAGATAAGAATTCAATTCCACCATGACATTTCACATAAAAACACATTCATTTACGTCCCGAAATCTTCATGACACGCCGGATGACTCTCTTTAGCATTCACCGCTATGATCAGCGAGCTATAAGATCCAAGCACATCGTACGTTGCACCCATCCCCACAGATGGTAATCGTATTTGGTTGTTGGAGGGGTTCGCATTTTGCCGTCGAGAGGCCCCGTCGTTGTTTTCGTTTTTTTTTCTCCCGTTTTTCCTGCTTTCAAGTTGCGCTTCAGTTTCGTTAGTAGGGCCCCCTCCTCACCTGACGGTCAGCATTTCTTGGGGAATAGTGAAGCAGTTAAAAAAAACTTCGGGAAGATGGTAGGAAGTTGGGATAATTTAGGAAAATGGTAGGCAGGAGAGGATGTGAAAGGGGGAGGGGGTCATACAAGAAGAGAGTTTTTTTCGACGGAAGCCGTATTTCGCTAGAAGTATACCTTTCAACGCGATTCGTTCACCTCGTCTTCCATGTCCCGTTTGAAATCGCTTCGCGAAAATTACGGATAAGTAGCGGTGCCGCATAAAACACTCAGTGAAACTGCGTTGCAGCGTTTCCCTCAACCGATGTTCTCACCCTGTGAGGGTCTAGAGGTATTTTCTCAATGGATCACCTGGAACAGCATTCAAAGGAAGGGGAAATAAGTAAGTGGAAAGAGAGGAGGAAGAAAGGAAAAAAGAAGAGGGAAGAAAAAGGAAGGGGAGTCAAAATCCCCGTTTAACAGATTTCTTTGGAAGAATGAAACCCGCGCATTCTGCCAGCACTTCTTCTTCTTCTCAAGACCAATATAGCTTCGAATTAGCCAGCGTTCAGACTTCGCGACAGCGTTGATCGCGCATCCTTTCGTCGACGCAGTCGAAAGCATGCGCGATCGATCGGTCGAACGCGCCGAAGCGCCGCCGTCGCAAACTCTGAACCCTGCCTTATTCTTTCCAACATCGAGTCACAGGTACGCGTTGCCACGAACCACTGTGTTACTCGTCTCACATTCGCCGCTTTTTCATTAAGAAAAAGCTGAAGAAAAAATAATTCCAACATTACCTATGATTTGGTACAGCTCCACATTCTCGAACCCAATTGGAAGACTGAGAGAAGTGAAAACTTCAAACACTGAAGATGACGACTTGCATTTGCGGCAAATTAGACGTGATCGCAACTGGCCTGAAGAAAGAAGTTGTCATGTAAAAAAATAAACAAGGAACTTGATTTCTGCTCAGTTCGTAGGCTGACATGACTATAGTTTTTCCTGTAGCATATTAAGATCAACGATAAGATCCATTTATCACATGAAATATGCGTCGTGACGAAGGTAAGAAAAAGTGGTGCGCCACCCAATAAGTCAACCATGTGACAATTGTGACAAACGCCATTCAGCTGAGAGGGTAAGCGCGGACCCGGCAGTGTATAGCGCATTCGTGCGCGGAGAATACCCGTCTGGGTCTCGTAGGGGTCTAACTGTACCCTCAAGATAAAGGCAAAAGGCTTCGGCACCGAACAAGGGCAGAGAGGAGGGAACTGCAATAAATTTCCACGTGCTGACGCATGACGCATGCTACTGCAGACGTAGTAAACGTTCTGTGGATCCTCACCAACACTTAAATAACGGGGATGATTCCTAGACAAACGGCGGTGGTATATGACAAGTCACACGCTTACCATGAGCGTGATGCGAGGTCATCCCTGACCGGCTTTCGCCCAGGACTTCTGTTCTCCGGGTACGGTGAATTGACACTACATCCCTCTTGGTGGATAAAAACACTGACTTACACATGGGCTGGGCCCAGCAAGTCATTACATAAGTCAAATTGCATTCAGTAAGCCACTACAACCCCGACTGGAAGTAGATTGCGTGTCGCATCCCCGAAAAGG